AAAAATCAGTAAAAATTCAGTTAGTCAAAAACAGATTTATTATGTTAGTTGATGAAAGGTAGTCGATAAGAGGTATAATATCTAGGTTTCTTGCTAGTTGGAACCAGTAAGCAACGAGTACTTACAACGCTAAGAGAAACGAAACGACCTTTAAAATTTCAACACTCACGACCCGTCTTTACAGTCTCAGACTTTAAAACTAAGCTATTCGGACGGTTGATGGATTTCTGTAGCATTGAGTCATGTACAGATGTTTGATTACTAACTAATGACTTAAAGGATTGTTTGTGAAAAGAAATTATACAGGATTTACAATATATATATAGCCTTCGATCATCATTTTGCATCTCGTGATGTGTCCTGCAATCTGAACTGCCTTTTCGTCTGGTCATCAAGTATTTTGCGTATACCGTGCTTTCGACGTACTAAAACTCTTCACTCGGTTTGACGACTGTGATAACTTCGAGGTCACGTTCTGCAACATACTACTGACAAGGAATTATGTGATTAGCGTCCACTACACTACTACCTCCAACTACCTGACATCTTAGAGTGGTGGATGCGATAATGAATTACCTAATCTAGTGCTTATATGGAAAGGTGGTTGACAGAATTCCATCAAGACTAATGAACTAGACAAACCTCTATCTGATAACTACTCAGCGATCAATCAGCTGTGCAGGTTTATTGGCATTAATATTAAGATGTATTTATATAATAGTTTTGTATTTATTACCCTTCAAGCTTTTTAACTCTGCATTCATACAACAATGTAGTATTCATACGACATTATTAATATAGTCCAAACTCTCCATTCAACATACGATTTCTATTCACTTAAAATCACTAGCTGAGAATTCCTGTAATGTATAAATATAGTAAGAATCCACACGTTAATTTCCAAATATATGAGCACTTTTGTTATTCGGATCCGTTTTTATTTCTATTTTCAGTTTGTTAATTCGGATTTTGCATACAGAGATATGTCTCTTATCAATTTACTAAAATGAACGGTGAACTACAACAAAGGTTCACAGAAGTCGGTGAATCACTTTAAGGAGTTATATTGGATGCTAGTTTCATATTACTTCCTAGACGTATATACCAATCAACATTTTATATAGCTGCCGGCTTGATAACTTTAGAAAAACAACAAATATAAGCCCAAAGATTTACATTTACTACATCTTTCAATGTATAACATTAAGCCGTTGATATCCAAAGTCTTCGGTAATTTCTGTCACATTTATGGTATAGTTAAACATAACGTGTCAAGAGTTCTCATCAAAACTTTAGAAAAACATCTTTGAGTAAGTTATTAGTACGCATATGATTACTAGTAAGATCAATCTCAGTTCTAGTTTGTAAATTAATTAGATTATTTTTAGTCTACTCTTCATTTTCATATATTCAATCGATTGTTCGCAGAATGAATATGGTAGCTAGATTGATTTACTTGAATACTCTGAAAGTTCAAATTAGATAATTTTACATCCATTTGATTAAATTAGTATTTACTAATGAAAGGTGAAGTTAAAAGAAAGTACCGGTTGTCACAGGATTTGAACCACCAGATTAATGAAACAGTATCTTAAAGATTAAAATGCATGACATTTGTTGTTTCTAGTTTATATGTAAAAAGCACAAATGCAATGAGCCAGTTACAGATTTCAAATGATTCAGCTCCGGTTTACAATTTGATAACTACCTATGACGAGACTATAAGTTATGGACAAACCAATCAGGTATAAGATAACAGGTCTCGGATTTTGGCGCGAAACTCACCCAGCCATTTGGTTGAATAGAGTTTTGGCATTATAACTGATGTCACTTCGTGATCAAAACCCTAAATCTAATTCCTAACCCTTACCATCAACTGTAAATCTGTGATAATTAGGAGTATTTGAATTATAGTATGAACTAAGAGTCCTAGAAATAACGTAATCGGATCAAGAAGTACTAGATAAGCACGAACGAATGTACTGTATTTGGAATTCGAAATCAAGCATTCAACAAGTACAAAGGAATCATTAGTTCATTCAAACACCACAAAATCATAATTCAAATTCCTCACATCGGTTTATCACTCTCATTTTATCCTAGTTATTAGGTGAACACTATCAAGGTCAGTTTAGCGTCGCTTGAATGTCGTCCATAAATTATAGTTGCACGCTTCCTATTTATTTGTCAGTACGGTAAAATGCTCAATAACTGATTTGAGATTGATTCATGGTCGATAACTGAGTATCACAGTTTTACTTGGCTATGCAGTTAGGAATGTAATCCAGAAGCCTATAATCTGAAAACTAGAGTAATCCATGCTTTCGTCCAAAATACATCATCATCAACAGATATACTCTCGAAGTCGTTTCAAACACTGAAGCTGAAGTAATTGTTTTCGCTCTACAACTTAGTGGATACCATTGAGTGAAACATCAACGATAGATTATTAGCCTATGTTAAAATGTCTATTTAAACGTAATCCTTTACAGAATACACATCTGCTAACAAAGACTGATCAGAAGCTAATTCTGAGTATCAACAAAGGGAGAGCTCAAACGCTTATCATTCCCTTTATTTGTAAGTGCTGATCAATCAATATCAATCAAGTATATTGTGTATATCAAGCTTAGGGTGGTTAAATGATAGGGTCAAGATTGTAAAATATTTGAGTACCGGAAACAATCGACAATATACTCATGACAAAATATCTTTGTTTATTTTCATCCATTATATGGGATATCCTCGAATCATTGAGAGAAGTGATGTACTGTGTGAGACTGAGATCAGCATTTCTAATGATAGCAGTAAAAACATTGTTATTGATCATTGTTCGCAAGCCTAAAATTTGTAATAACAGGACGTCTATTAGTGAAGCGATAAAAGTCTGTTTGTTTCAAAAGACAATGTCAGTTACAAAACAAAGTTATTTTCTAGAATATTAAACAGAATACGTATGTGTTGTGTCAGATTTTTCAACGATTTGTCATATAAAAACGTGTAAATACAGAGTTTATTAACTACCCTAATAATAAGAAATCATTTAAAGTGTTTAATTTTAAGGTCACCCCTCGTTAAGGAGCATAGGCCACCCACCAGCACTCTTCATCCAACCCTGTCCTGGCCAAACCTTTCCAGTTGTTTCCAGTTACTATTCATTCTTTTGATGTCTGCTTCCAATTCAAGACTCAGTGTGTTCTTCAGCCTTCCTCTTTGTCGCTTCTCTTCAAGACTCCAGGTTAGCATAGCACTCCCTAAATCCGGATTCCAACAAATTTTCCAACAATCGATGGTCATATCACAGATTAACCGAACCAGAAGTTTCCAAAAAGTAGGTCTAAACGTAATGTATTTATCGTAATACCCTACAATTTCGAGTTTGACCATGGGTTTGAACAACGGAGAATTTTTAAACTATAAAAGTCTGTTGTTTACCAAATTAAGAGGACGAAAAGCGAATGTCCTTCGCTTTAACCGGGTTGGTGGATATGGAGAGTCCACCTAGGGGAGTTGGCAAACCCTGATTCCAAACTAATGATGCACATATGCTCCAGTATCCCGAAGGAACAAATGGCGTATGAACCAATCGTTGGTCACCGGCTACCATGAGACCGCATCTCCCTACGATGCTCCACTGCCTTGTGGATCAGACCTTCAGGTCAAAGGCTCGGATGTGGCCCCCTAAGAAAACCACCTGCACCGGTCCGGGCATCCGGGCAGTATCACAGCCCTCATACATATCGGATGGGATTTGTGTGGCGCATATGTATTTGGTGCCTCCTTGTACCAATATCTATGTGTTAAAATAAATAAATAAATAACCAATGAAACATGGTTTGACATTATTTCAACAAGATCTTCATTTAATTTAATTATGTATAAACAAAGAATGAGTACTTGAAAATCTAGGATATTTTAAAGTACCATTCACATGATGGAAAACATCTTTTACAGTAGCGAGTTTACAAATACAGAACAAGGGGGTATAATCTTGGATACTATACCCAGCAGAACATCAAGTTTAACAGAATATTAGAAATAGAGTAACATCGGTCAAATAATTATTTACAATAGTAATTAACAAACAGCATACAGAACTCTTTGAAGTCGTTTATCGGGCAAAATACGGAAGCAAGTGATTTTTGTTTACTATCCATAATAATAAGTTCTCCAAAACTTCATCAAAACATATTTAAGAAATTGACGTCCTATTTAAAAATCAAATCTATAAACTCAACACTGAATAGTTCTCCGTTAAGGACATTTCAAAACCCATCTGAATCAGTATTGTGTGCAAACTAGTAGTTTCACACTAACCAGAAGACTGAACAGCGGTGAAAGACAAAGTAAACATTATTTACGGATTAAAATGGATCAACTAAGAGAAGCACTGATTTGAAAAAAATCGGATTCAAACTACGTATGCATATACAGAGACACGAACTAGCCGTGAAGAGACATGATATGAGATTATGAATGCTATCGGAAGATTTTCCATTTCTGGATTTAGTGAATTATCACTTATGTCAATTGTTCCACAATATATCTTAACTCAGTGAATAATTCTAATACATATATGGTTATAAGCAGCTGATGAGAAACCAACAAATACGATGAATTCATGTTATTCTGCATCAATGTTCGTTTGGGCTTTATTTAAATTCATAAAGGGACCTAATTGCTTTCTAAAAGTATGTGAATTCCAGTTATTAATTCATTTGTAGAAGTAATCTTCGACTTCAATTGATGAAGCTCAGGTGATATAGAAACGAAATACTGATGTAGAAGCATAAACGCGTGTATGATTGTTAACCGTTTATGACTCTGTACGATTAAGAAATCAGTCGATAGAACAAGATAGAGCTCAATAACTTATACATTGCATTACACTATTTTTTCGAATTAGTTTTTAATTCACAATATTTAGTGACATTGGTGCTCATATTAAATAGTGTATATCCCACTTTATACCCACTTTCTAATAATTAAAAATAATTTTTATATTCAAATACATTTTTATTGAGATGCACCACATATTTTACTCGCACAATTTTATGTTACTTTATATATATTTCAGTAGTAAACTTTGTTGAAAGGAAAATCCAAATGGTTAAAGGTTGTCGATGAATACAGAGCTGATTGAATTGGTCATACCATGACGAAACTTATATGGAACAAAAAAATATATTCTGAAATTAGAACAAAAAAACAATATCATTCAAAGGTTAACTAGAGTTCCTTCTAACGTATAAATTAATCTATATCCAACAGTAAACTTTAAGCCTTGTTCAGTAAATTAAAAAAATAATAATAAATTATTGGGTTCAAAATTCATCTGAAACGTGAAACATTTGCGTGAAGTGCCGTAAACGTTCCTAATAAGTAACCAATTCACCATTTCAAAGCAATTGGATTTACTATTAGAAATATATTTACAAATTTATGTGTCAAGTTTCTTTTCCATTTTGATCGTTATCCCACAAATTAAGACCTACAGATGTTAATAAAGACTGGAAACAAAACTTTCTAACAGAATAATGTTTCATATGAGATGAACAAACTAACTACAGGTAAGAAACTGTCCTGTTCAGATTTGTTTGAACTTTATCTAAACCATTTCTGTTATTGTAACTTGAAAACATGGTGATGTCCCCTTACAGACGACATTTGCTCAGTGATAACGTCTCTGACTGTGAAGCTGGGTGACACGGGGGAGCACCAGCTCCCTCAAGATTAAAGGTACACCTTGCTGACGAGTGCCAAGTAGCATGAAACCCTGGTCTACCTCCAACCACCATCTAATCTCAGTATATAGTGTCCGCAATGTCGAGCCACCTAGACTGGTGGCCACATTGCAACATGGTCGATAGCATTCGATCTGCGCTAAATAAGGACTTGACACACATGACATTGATCACCACCCAGTGATCAATCAATTGTTTTTTTTATCATTTATTCATGATGTCGTTAACATTACAAGAGACCTTTCTAAATCATATCAAGTTTATGCTGTCTATTTATGAAGGTATCTTTTTTATCGAAAGTCTTTCATGATCTCACTTTTTAATTAAGATCTTTATGAGTTGTGTCACAAGACTTTCTTCGCAGATATTTGGAAGAAGGTAGATGTTTTTTACGTACCAATTGTTGTTGAAAAGCATTCCAAATTCAAATGTCTATCGTGTTCATAAATTTCTTTACGTTATTTAGATATAATATATTGTGTCATAAGAAATGATTTATTCAAACCTTTAAAATAATATAGATTTGATTTGAGTAAGTTTACACCTCAAAGATCTGCTTAACTATCTTCAAGATTGTATATTCTAAAGCTTTAGGGTCATGAAACAGTGAGATCGATTATCTAATAGTATTCAGTCAACATTAAGAAGTAATTTGAAAAAAAACAGAATGTGTGAACTAATTAAGGTAACAAAAGCTGCAGTCTTTACAAATAATTTGATCTTTGTGTTATAACTTGTGCCTTGTGTCCTATTAATGTATAACATCATGATGCCGACAATTAGAGAACGATAATTCATCGAATGGACTAATGGCACACAAAACTCATACGAGCAGTCTAGAGACTTTATTTTTCCCGCTTCCTATCTAATCCTGCCTGTTAAGTCCAAAACGCCAATCTCATCCTCTGCGATGTAAATCACGTATTTCAAGTATACTGGGTTTAGATACAAACCAAACAGACCACATCACAACATAAAATAGAAAGTGACATTTGTACAAGATCAAGGCAAAAGTGGCTGTGAATGTGGGAGATAATAATTGATAGACTGGATATAACTCAAGATTGTAAATCGTATAATAATAATCTATGGGTTGAAATAAAGCTTATACTATAAGGAACATAAATATACATAGTTTAGCTGCTTAACGATTACACAATAAAAGTATACGCATAGTATTAGTCCATAAATAGATCTCAACAGTTATCATTCATTAATCTCATCGGGATATAACACTTTACTTTGATCATATAAACATTCAGTTAAGGAAAGGTAGTCCTTCAGGAGTTCTGTGCATTTTTTTGTTTGTTACGATAATCCTCTTTGAATAGAAGTTACAGAACAATCAACAAATTTAGCTTGCTGTGACAACCAACAAAAAAATGGGCAATTTTATACTCATAACCAATCGATATTCGTTCAAACTAATTCAATATCCAAGTAGTTTCAAGTTAATCCATTCAAAATCGAATTGTTTGTTTATTTTGTTTGTTTTGTTGATAAGTTTCTTCCCTCTTTTTGAATTAGGTATGAGGTTAATAAATCTGTTTGAAGATTCATAATATCATTTACCCTTTTAAATATAATTAAATAAAGGTCGATATACTCTGTACAGAATCGATACAATATACAATTGACAGAACTTAACCATCCATTGAAATGAGTAAACAAAATCGATGATTTTGAGATGCTGGAGAAGATTTTTAGTTCAAGTGGATGATTTCGATGAAGTTTTTTTGTTGTTTTTTTTGAGCTGAATGGTTTGATTGTGGAGATTACATCGTTATTCTGAACGACATCATCTGTACAAACTTCAGGTAGAACTCTACTTCTACCTGATGATGTCGTTCAGAATAATGATGAAAGCTCTGCGACTAAACCATCTAACTCAGAGAGTAAAACTCTATCATAAATAGAATCTATGGTGACATAGAATTGATCTTTAAGAAATTATATATAGCATCGTTCTATGACAGAACATATTTGTGAAAAATAACTAAAAATACATCATCATCATTATCAAATCTCTTATCATCAAGTACACTTGAATAAATACATCCTTCTTACTGTTTTAATAACTTTAATGTGTCAATTAAAATTAACTGAAAATATTTAAAGAACTACATTTTATTAATGATTACTTATTAGTACTACTACTACTACTACTACTACTACTACTACTACTACTACTACTACTACTACTACTACTACTACTACTACTACTACTACTACTACTACTACTACTACTACTACTACTACTACTACTACTACTACTACTACTACTACTACTACTACTACTACTACTACTACTACTACTACTACTACTACTACGAATAATAACGACAACAATAGTAATAGTACTAGCTGGACTTTATCTGTTTAAGGTTGGATCCATATAATGAAGCTAAGTATTCGGTAAACAACATGTGAATCAAGTTCTAATTGATAATTTGAATACAAATACAAATTTTCCGAGTAATCACTCATTAAGCTCTACAATAATAGTAATAGCAATATCAATAGTAATAATATGAAATATAGATGTGTTCAAGAGATTTGGATAGTTACAAAACTAAAAAGAGAAAAGAAATTTCAAGTAGATAGTGCTTATGATGATCAAAAATTACCTACGTATTTATGTAATTTTTGATATTATACTAAGAGGTTAATGAAAATAGTTAAAATTTTTTGAAGGAATGTTTATATCATGAATTGATTTACGGTAGAGAAACTACAGAAAATTGAACAGGTATTTTATCTTACTTTGAGACTTCACAGAAGCATCTAACCCCCCCCCTCAAAAATCCTGTCAAAATAGATAGTAATACCCTAATTTTTAGATAGAATCAATAACTAGTGAACTTCTGTAACATGTAGAGTGAAACAGATATCAACGATAGCAACATATGTTAGTCAAAGAAAATTATAAAGGTACTGGGACTTGAAATGAATGGCATTGGAGACGAACTCATTAGTTCATAAAGAAGCTGAAAAGAAGCCTGAAGAGAATATACTTCGTTCCTGATACGTTCTTTGGTTTCTGATTCTCATGTTTTAAACAGTATGTACTAATATGATATCGAACATTTCATCAAGTTAACCACCAAAATTTGATGTGTGTAGGAAGATTTTTCAAAAATGAAAATAATATGCAAGGCTATTCCTGGTGGATAACATGCTGTTACAAGTTCAGACGGATTATATGCCTTTGCAAGGACAATTAATAAGTGAGCAAAGTAAGTTTGAGGGAGCTTACTGTGAGTGGGTGGTTGGTTTATTAATCTAACTGGGGTTACTAAAGACATGTCGCTCTAAGAATTTATGTGAATATTCATTCACCCTTTCACACTGAAGCTTCCTACTAACTATATGCCTTATTAGTTACCACATGAGGTTGGGTAAGAGTTATGAAGGTTACAGTATTGATTGGTTTGTACTAAAGAATTGATTACATATTTCAAATTATACGTATGTGTTCCTATCTTATTTATATTTTGTAACTAAGAGATGGAAAAAATTCAATTCGGCTTAATTTATGTTCATTACCTAATTTTACAGGGGGTAAACTGGAAGTAATACACACTGTAGTTCCAAGTAATAATGCCTTTCTATCTATAGATCACATTTAAGTAAATCAATATATATAAACATATAAAGAACTATGCGAGAACAAAACTGTTTACTACAATAGATATCCTTGTTAATTTTGTTATATATATTCTGAATATACCGTGTATGACCTGAACACTGAACGCTAGAACCCTCCCAAGTCGTAAATGAGAAGAAAGAAGAACACTGAAGAAAGTGCTTGTTGGACCAGAATCAAAATGTACAGAAAATCATGGATATTTATAGATATTAACGTTTGTTAAATCAACATTATAATTCAACCAATCCGCAAGGAGGTACATTATGCTACTGATCAATAGTAGCATGCCACGTTGATATTTTAGAAAGCTCCACTGCGTTCTGATCGGATGAAACTCTTCGGCTCTTCTAGGGCTTATGGAGGCCCTGTCGTAGTTCTCGGAAGCCATCCCAACAAATTTGCGTTATAAATCAGTAGTTGAAACAATATTTTACGCTAAACTGTTAGTTCTAATTAAAAAAGTGCTTTCTACATACTCATTTATGACTTATACTAATGATCTAGTCCTCGACCAACAGTTTAGTGAAGTCTTTCTAATAGCATTCATTATGTAACTAAAGTTATACTTACCTATAAATAACAGTATTGTACTAAACTATATTTCCTTCAATTTCAGAAAAGTACAATTGACTGAACACAGATCAAAAGGATTAATTTTGATCATAAACTAAAAAAATTGGATCCTAAAGAGGATTCCATAACAGTTTTAATACGTAATTATATCAATTTATAACATAGATGCTGAAGTCATCGATTTTCGGCTTATTTTACATTATACATTTATCGATGTTTTCTTGTCTCTTGGTTCATACCAAGATCTCATCGTTTCTGTTAATATTATCAATAAGTCTTTGAAATCAAATCAAATCACTTGAAATCTAAAAAATAATGAAGTTATAAAGACGATCTTCATAGGTTTCATTAAACTCATTGAGCATAGTGGCTATTCTAATAGATGAATTCCGAATGATTGGTGAAAATCAAAGCTTGAATTTGAATAATACTATATTTTGGAAGTATTTGTCGTGACCTACTTTTATCAAGAGAACGCGATTGGTTTAATGGAAACAATTATTATTATAACCAATTGTACCAGGGATTGTTTTACCATACTTGTTTGTTTAACTGTATCAAAACACATACATTCTTCTGTTGATTGTGACCTTCCACGAATTCGGTCACGCTCAGTGACCACATGATCTCGGTATTCTTTCGATACCATGAGATCGCCAACAAATACATCTCGATTACAGCCATCAACTGCCTTCTGATATTTGGCCTACGAGGGGTCTTATCGGTTAACTGGCACGTAGTCTTACTGTAGTGGTGATCATAGTCAACTGCAACTCGACGCCACACTACATATTTATCATATTAGTATGATGTAAAAATATCCTAAGGTAGATGCATGTGTATATGCACATATGCTTAAAGTGAGCATATGACTCAATACTTTAGGATAAGATTTTCGTAACTATTAAGTGGTCCCAAATTTGTAAAATATATATTCGGTGAGACTATAATTTATGGACGACCTTTGAGCGACGCCAGAGTGAGTTGGAAAGTGTCTACCTACTTATTAGGGCTAAATGAAGGTTTTAAAGCAGTTTGAAGAATAAAGTCAATGTTTTACAGTTGATGGTAAGGGTTAGGAGTTAGCTTTACGGTTTTCATCACGAACTGACATCAGCTAAAGTGCCACGACGCTATTTTGACGAATAGGTGAGTGAATTTCGCACCAAAATCGAAGACCTGATATCCTAAATCTGATTGGTTTGTCCATAAATTATAGTCTCGCCAATATTTCTTCTTAAAGTATCATACTATGAAATAAATATTCTGGTGGTAAATATTCAAAATACAGCTTACCTTACAAACTTTGTCAGGTTTCATATTTACTATAAATTTGTTGATAATTTTAATCATTGTTGAACTGAATAGTGATGCACACTGTAAAGTAACAAAGTAATCATATAACAATTGTTTAATTAAAGAAGTTTTGTGAACTTAATTTAGAAGTTGTATTTGGGATATACTGGTCTTATTGGTGGTACTGATGAAAACCATAAAGCATTGAAAAGCTGTATAGTTTGAGTACAAAAGTCATTAGCAATGTATAGTAACTATCTTAAAATATTCTCGATATGTATACAATGAAATAGCATTAGATAATTGTCCGATTTCATAGTAAATTGACCAGAATTAGAAATGTGCCATTGAACACCAACAGAGTAGTTCTAATGGTTGAGCGTTTTTGCCACGACGACTGAAGGTTTAAGGCCTCATCTATGAAGAAGTCGTGAGTGAGCACTACTGTGGAGTATCGAATGTGAACGAAACAGTCATTCAGTGTTTTTATTTCTGTTTGTGAAAATTATTATTTCATCACTTTGAAGTCATGTTAATAAATAATTTAGTTAATTTTTCTAGTTTAAACCACACAAATTGTGTAGTAGTTCAATTGAATTGCACAAATCAGTACTATTTAAAACAACATTTTATTGTATGCTGTATTCATTTTTCTTGGCGTTGGAGTTCCTAATATAGAGAATTTAATTAACAGTTGATTGGTACTTTTTTACTGAAATTAGTTGCTGATGTTATTTCCGTTTAGAACAACGTTAGAACAATGAGGTTAGAAAAGTCAATATCATGAGAGACATTCACTTGGGTAATAAAATGTCTGCATTATTTCATGAGTTATGAATTTGAAATCAGTTATTTTCTAGTTTAAAACCACTACTTGATCATACATAGAACAGATGAATAATCTTTATGAATCCTCATTTCAATATTTGACTTCAAGAGGTATTTCCTAGAGTTCTATTGAGAAGTAATGACCAATGGAGTTCAATCGAGTGGGTTATAAGATAGTAACACACTGAAGACAATAATGGATGTGTTGCTCAATTTGGTGGATTAGTTGAAATTAGACATTAACACCATTGGATGCCGGTTCAGCGGTCTAATGGTTAAGCACTAACGCTTGAGATTGATAGGTTCTAGGTTCGAATCCATGGTGATCTAAGTCCAATTGACTCATAATCTTAACTACTAAAATTACTGTAATATCCACAAAACCCCTTCTGATATTATTATTGATTCGAAGCAAAAACTTACATTATCACGAAGCGGGCCAGTATATTTACATCCATTGACAAGTTTCATTTCCAATTTCAATTGAAAATTCAAATCCGATAAATCATTTATTACCCTAGCAATTGTTCTATTGCAACGATCACATACTATAAATAAGTAATATCAATAATCATTAGGAAGATACTATCGAAGGTTTAAGACTATATTACTCACCGAATGCTTTTGAGAATAAGTTTCATTTAGTTTAACTCTACTACATTGAACCAATAGACCAATGGACCACGGTATAGATTATAGCGTCGATTGATGTTGAAACACATCAAACTTGTGCAATGTCTGGTGTTTATCAACCGGTGACTCAGTGTCCGAATAACTGATGCTGTATCATATTCAAAACTATCTTTTGTTTACACTGTTTTTAAAAAAGCATTGACTGTTAAAGCTACCAAAAAACCCGATTATTCAAGGACTTCCAATGATGAAAAAGGAGATGGAACATTTTTATGGTCAAAAATTGAAGGGATGCCATAAACTTTGTATAATAATAATAATGTATTCGTGCTCTTTGTTTCTATGGGCATTGACCAGACTATTTACTATGCTTAAATAGAAATGGTATATTTTTCATTCGATTGTATTGACTGCTATTTTCCAAACAGTGTTGTTATGAATATGTCTGTCTATAAAAGAAATATTTATCTTTCCCTATAATGCTGAGTTTTATAAACATAAGAGTTACTAACGTCCTAAATGCCATTTCACTTATTCTGAGTAACATTTGAATCCGTTACTTTATTGTTTTCTGTTCAACACTTTTACCCTTGTGAAGTATACTCAATATATTGTACCACTTACATAATAAATATGTAATCAGAAACTACCATCGTTAAAAGTATTCATATGCATTATATATTGAATAAGGATTATGTAATAATACTCTCTAATTACTAATATATTTTTAATATCAGAAGGGGTTTTGTGGATATTATAGTAATTTCAATAGTTGAGATCATGAGTCAATTGAAGCTAGACCACCATGAAAAATCTAGAAGCACTGGACGGTCGTTCCGTGACTGGCTTCAAAATGTATATCCTGGAGTTCTATTAAGAAGCAGTGACCAATGGAGTTCAACCGGGTCAGTTGTGAGATAGTAACTCACTCAAGACAATCGTGGATGTGTCGCTCAATTTCATGGATTAGTTGAAACTAGAAATTAACACCGTTGGATGCCAGCCAGCTCAGTGGTCTAGAAGTTAAGAACTCGCGCGCGAGACCGATATGTCCTGGATTTGAATCTCGTGGGGTGGGATCGTGGATGCGCACTGTTGAGGAGTTCCACAATAGGACGAAACGGCCGTCTAGTGTTTCAAGGTTTTCATGGTTGTCTATCTTCAAGTGACTCATGATCTCAACCGTTGTAATATTTTATAGTTTAGGATTAGTTAACTATTGCTACGATCCTGATCGTTTTGCATCTTTTTATTATAGATTACTTATCTTATAAGAGATAATAAAGCAATTTGAATTGAACACTACTAGATATAAACACTAATTGTAATTTCTTAATGTAGTAATTATATATTTACACAAGTGGTTACTGGTTGTGTTTCCCAATATCTATTTAGTTAAAATTTGAATAAAGTCTTCTAAAGAAAGACGTATAGTTTGGTTACTTAAGTAATTTCAGCCTTTCTATCGAATCAGCTGATCCGTCTAGAAAAATGGTTAAAAAATGAATTTTCCATTAGGACTGATTTTAATTAGACCATCAGTGTTCATTCGACTGCTGTTGTGGTCAAATATTTAAAATGATTCCAAGTATTTGTTCCCATTAATCTGTACGTCGATGATCTGTGTTACACTAAAGTAGATTCTTTATTGATGTTTATAATTGTTCATATACTTCTAAAGCTTTTAATAGGCAACTGCCGATATATTCACTTACTACGTGATCAAGATTTTTTTAAAAATACACATGATATTTACAAACGATCTCCAGAAACATTAGTTAAGAAGACAAGAAGAAAAGTATGGAACATAAATAGCCATTTCTCATGAATTATTACTTTAAGTAATAATAATAAGGGGACTAGTGGTTACCTAATTTGCTTCACATTTTTACGGTTAAAAGACTGGTAATTAATATGATATGTCAACTATTTGACATGTACAATATCGCAGTTATTTGAATTTTAGCTTATAGATTAAGCAAGGCATGAAAATCCTGCACCAAAATATCAAACCATGAATTTTCAAATTAAGTAATACCCTTTTTTAAAATAAAAATAAACTCACAGTTCAATAAATTTTCATTCTAAAAACAAGATGATACAAAAAAAATGGATGAGTAACAAACAAAGTTTTTATTCACATATTACCAAGTATAAAATGAACTATTAACATCGGATTCATGATAAAGTTTCGTCCTTTGTAGACTTCGTCAGTTGCTCTTAATACGATAGTTTTCAATCGTTTCCTTTTTCAATAGTTGAAATCATGAGTCAATTGACGCTAGACCACTATGGACAACTTGGAAGCACTGAACGGCCGTTTCGTCCTAGTATGGGGCTCCTCAGCAGTGCGCATTCTCGATCCAGCCCCCCCCCCGCGAGATTCGAACCAAGGAGATATCAGTCTCGGGCGGGATTGCTTAACCTCTAGACCACTGAACCGGCATCCAATGGTGTTAATGTCTAACTTCACCTAATCCACCAAATTGAGCGACACATCCACTATTGTCTTCAGTGTGTTACTATCTCACAACAGACCCGGTTGAACTCCACTGGTCACTGCTCCTTACTAGAACTCCAGGATATACCTTTTGAAGTCAGTCGCACATGATCTCAACTATTAAAATTACTATAATATCCACGAAAATCCTTCTGATCTATATTCTATTGATTTATAATTCTCAATAATCTTTCAATTAATGTTAATTCCTGATGAAATCTCCCTATTATAACTAACTAATTTATTAATCTATTAAGTCTATTTACAATTGATGTTACTTACTTGAAGATATTCATTATGTATAGTAAATCCTTTAATATAAGATAAATAGATTACTATTAGGAAACATTTATAAAGTAGATATATTACGTACATAAGGTAATTATGAATTGAAATTGTCGATTAAACATAATTGTAATTGTATTGTATAAAACAATGGTCATTTTAATGACAATTCCAATGGACTTTATAAAGTGTAATGATAGACTATTATTGTTATTATTATTATTATCATAAGGAATAAGAGTTGATAATTGAACTTTGAATTGTGATTAATAAGTTTGTGATCATTTTATGTTTACATCAAATAGTTTTTTATATTTAAGGTTATTTTGAAATAATCGATATATTTTTTTATTTTATAAACAAAGATGGATAGTAACTAGTAGCGGAATCCAGGAGGTGTGTTTCGTTTTATTTAGAATTTGTCAACTGGTTATATCTACATCTTAGAGTTGATGTTTATTCTGGGACTAGAATCCAGTATCGTTCGCTCCAAAGGCCATCACGTTACCCACTTAGGTACTGAGTCCTAATAGCCGCTTGCTTGTGCAATAGGGTGAAGTTTTAAATTAACTTGGTACAGTTTAGTCGTATTTTCCCATTGATGTTCAGGACTGTAATTTATCAATTTCTTATTGGGATATTTGCATAATGTGCGTATTGGATCTGTATTACCTTCATTCACAGACATTCTAAACAAAGATGGATGATGGCTAGTAGTGGAATCCAGGAGGCGGGTTTCGTCCTATTTAGAACACGTCAGGTGAATGTACCTGCACCTTAGAATTAATGTCCACTCCAGGACTCGAATCCAGTATCATTCGCTTTAGATTCTCACTTAGCTACTGAGTCCTAGTAGCCACTTGCTTGTACAATGGGGTGAAGTTTTAAATTCACTTGGTATTGTTTACTTGTATCTTCCCATTGAATCAATTTAAATAACAATGGGAAAATACAAGTAAACAACACCTAATGAATTTAAAATCTTTTTTTATTTTAATTATGAAAGTATTCATTATAAATAGATATACATTAACATATATTTAGATGGTATAACTATTCTTTGAATCAATGGTTATTTGACATAGATGTTCAGTGTGACAATTTGAACTAATGCTTAGTTGTGTATCGTTCTATCATGATTATAATGTACTGAATGGTAGTTTTAATATGAAGTAGTCAAAAAAAAGCTATATGAGTTAATCAAGACAAGATAGTCTTTACAATAGTGATTCATAGTTATTTGAGATTATAATGTAATGGGGATGTTAGATCCTCAGAACTCATTTGATTAATGTTTTATTTTGGGAATTTGAATTTCTTGTTTTCGCGCCCAAAGCGCCCATTTTCACCTTTATGTTGTACTACCCATTTGGTAAGTATTTAGTACCAAGTATGAAACTCCTAAGTAGAGTAAATCCATAACGAATTTTAACCTGCTGTTAGATTATGAATATGCTTATCATAACATCTAAAAATCTTGCTAATGCCTCAGAAAATCACCACAATGTGAATACTATCAAAAGACTGTAAATTGGACATATAATCTCTATTTAATTCATCCAAAATTCTTTTCAAGTCACGCAATATAAAATAATCATATTAAAACTCTATGTATCCTCTGAAGGAAATCTTCAAATAACCTTTGTTCATTTAAAACAAAAATACATCAAAGGTCAGTTTTTACAAAACCACCAATTCTCTCTCTCTCTCTCTCTCTCTATATATATATATATATTCATGAATACTTCCATTATCATTATGATTTATCAACTATTAATTTTATCATCATTAATTAATATTCTAAGTAAGTATAATTTCATATTGTGAGGTTTCCACTTTAATGAAGCTTCATCAACCATCAAGGAATATAACAGTTATGAAAGTGAATTCAATGTAAGTGTAATACTTTATTATTAAAACTTTCTTATCCATATTTATATTTGAATAAAATGAGAATAACAAGATTTAAAGCACAAAATGATTTCATTATTTAATTTCAAGTCTTTTTATAAGTTGTAAAAAGTATAAAATTACAAACAGTAACATAATCATAAACAAGGGTTTAACACTATTTGTGTAATGAATAATATAATACAAAACATATGATTAAACATAGTTTTGATTGGCACGTATTTATATTTTCAATCGTTGAGATTATGAGTCAATTGAAGGTAGACCACTATGAAAAACCTGGAAGCACTGGATGGCCGTTTCGTCCTATTGTGAGACTCCTCAGAAGCGCGCATCCATGATCCCGCCCCGCGAGATTCGAACCCGAGACTTGTTAGTCTGGCGCGCAAATGCTTAACCTCTAGACCATTGAGCCGTATTTATATGTTGAAAAATGGTCATACAGACTAGATGTGATGTCATGGTTATCCAGCTGTAATAAATATAACAACAGTATTTATAACTCCCTTTAAATTGTCTCTAATTGTGAAACCAACTTACTTACTTAATTACGTCTGTTATCCCACTTGAAGGAGCATAGGCCGCCCACCAACACTCTCCATCCAAACCTAATTGTGAAACCAAGTCATAAGTATTTTTCTGTTGTTTTTGTTTTTGTTTTAGAATATAAAATTCAACCAATTTAAACGCATATATCATCATTTTATCTTAAATCAAAATCCAGCTAATCCTTGTAAGTTTATTTTCTATCAAAACAATAATCTATTTTTCCTATTATCTACATGAACTTTCTCTCTATCTCTCTCTTCCCCTGATACTCACTCCTTTCTTTATTTCAGCATGTTTCGGTTGTAAATCTGGATTATGGTTGGCTAAAACATTTGTCTTTGGTAGTAAACAATTTGTACATGATCATATTGAAGTGACTTGTACAAATTTAAAAAATATTTATCAACCTGTAAGAAATACAAGATTATGATTTATTTCTAATGAATTATTATATTTCTTTTTTACTTATAACGATCCGAGTTATGCATAATAGTCGGTTATGGTCATATCTAGCATAGTTTATGTTGAGATACAGGATGAAAAACATATATATGATAAAAGAAAATTACACTCCACTATGAAACATTCATCTATTAAATCAATGAAAAAGAACTGCTTGGTGAACATAAACACATTTTGAATAAACGATGATTGTTTTATTTATTTTCTGGTTAGCGTTTTTTTAGCGAGTTAGTTTTCTACGGGATGGGGACGCTAACCCCACGCCCAACCCTCCCCCTTTATCCGAGCTTGGAACCGGCAGTAGCCCCCGAAGGGGCTCCAGGCGGAGTTCGTTTTATTTATTCATTTATTTATTTGAACATATAAATATTGGTACAGAGTGGCACCGAATACATATGTGCCACACAAGTCACTTGATTAGTGCGTAGACTATGATACTGCCTGAGTGCCCAGAACAAAGCAGGTGGTTTTCTTAGGGGGTCACACCCGAAACCTTTGACCTAAAGGTTTGATCCACAAGGCTGTGGAACAACGTCAGGAGATGCAGTCCCATGTTAGCCGGTGACCAACAATTGGTTCATACGCCATTTTTTTTTACTCAGGATCGTATAGCCATTGTGCACCATTGGTTTGGAAGCAGGATCCACCATATCCACCAACCCGATTAATACGCCGGATAGTTGTTTCTCCTCCTCTCAGTTTCGTAAACAATAATAATGGTGCGAGAAAGCGATGAATAGGACTTTCGTGGGAGTGGCTGTATGCGCGCGGCCATGTGAAAGTAATTCGAGAAGGAGAGCTGACTCTCCTTACCCTCGGCCGTACCAGGGCATTCGGGGGCAATACTACATTCTATACCATCAAAAGTGATGATAGTTCAAATTAAATTCCGTTTACAAATGAAATAAATATTTAATGGTTTTTGTTGTAATATCTCACTGTTTCATGTGATCAACATACATTTCTTGGACAACAATTTCCATCAAGAACTGGACATTAGCTGAGATGTCATTGAAATCTATGATATAAAAAATGAACATCCCCTTCTAGTTTTCTACTGCTACCACTACTGCTACTACTCCTAGTGCATTGGAAATAAGCATCCACCATTTAACACTAAAAGGTTTTCGGGATTAAGAGTATGGATAGCCAAACTAGAGCAAAAGAGCTGTCCAACACTCGGTAACTCCCAACCATCTGAGATTAATTTAGTGATGAAAATTAACTTTATATATTAAATTCTAATAAGATCCAACAGTGACAGTTACATGTAACTTTTAAAAAAAACAGAGATTTTTAAAACTTAAGCTTACGCTGTTTAGCAATACTTGTCATAAATTTCTACAATATTCCACTTAATAACTACGATAATCACATTAGGAAAATAGTTAATTTTCTTTGATAAAACAAACACTATTCCACTTAACAACCATAATATTCTGTTTCTTAAAAACTGACGACTCTCTTCTTGGATTTTATATTTTTTCTAGTGTAAAAGAATATTAACTGAATTTCTGGATTACGCTTATGATTTGATATATGCTTACAGTTCAACTGATCTATGTGCAGTAAGTTGTCTTAAAAAAATATGATAGTATGAATAATTCCCATTGTCAGTGTAAAGAGTTTACAGAAATGACGACTGTCATTATGTGGTGTTGACCATTAAACTCGAAAATCTCCGTAAACGCTCCATACTAATAAAAGTATTTTTCTCATTAGTGATTGATTTTGAAAAGTAAATCACGGAGTTCTAGTAAGAAGCAATATCGAATACAGTTTAATCATACTGAGTTTAAACCAGTTGCGTATTCTCGTAGACTGATTGAAGCAAAACATATAAACCATTGGAGACAGGATCAGAGGACTAATGGCTAAGCGTCCATTATGAGACCTGTAGATCATAGGCTCAGCCGCTGGTAGTTTGTGGAAAATCACTGGTGAGAGCTCTCATTCTAGTATAAACCAGTTGCCTAATTTCTTTCGCTTTTTCGTGGTTATCTAACTAAAGTAAGATCGTAGTGTGAAGTGAGATCAAATAGTGAAATACTGTGTTTGATGATTGAATACGATAGATAAGAAACCCCATCTTTAAAGCATTAAATAGTAATGTAATACTGCAGAAAATATGAACGTAACCACAGGGGAAAGACTTCAGTAATTCATTAAATTTACAGACTGTAGTCGTCAAAGAATAATCCCAGTTGAGATACGACCGGAAACCGTAAACCTTTGAACAATTATTTTGTGCAAGTACGGGACATTTTAGCAGTGCCCACTTGTGTTTCCTCATTGTATCGTCGTCTCAAATCGACCGAATTTGCATATATACCTGTGGACATTTATCTGTTCCTTCTAATGCATTAGCGTTAACCATCAGACCTGAAGTTTGTCAGTCCGATCCCAGGGGAATTCGTTGGTGCATATCACTGAGGAATCCTATACTAGAAAAAAACAGCTGTTCAATACTCTTAGATTTTCTGTTGCAACCCAACTGAAGTCAATATTTAACGAAAGTAACCTACAAACTAAATCACTATCCACCAAATCCCTTTAACTGATTCAATCAATTCGTTATACACTGCCTCATTTCTATATAGCCTCACCAGTCTGACGCTTTCAGAGTGAAAGAAAATGACTAAAAGATATATCCGGCCGAAAAAACTGATCATTTTGATTTTTTTCTAAAACCCGATTCCATCCTAACTTTCTTCCACTGTCTTAATTCATAGTGTAATCATAGTTAATTTGATTAGTTTAATGCCTCTGCAATTTATTACTGTTTCGTTACAAAAATTTATGGTTACTTTGTACAGTTTTTGTTTTGTTTTATCAATCCATAGCTTGCTGGGATATGTGCAGATCCACCGGAAATTGACTGTGAGAACATTTTACTTTTGAATTAGTATGGTTTCCATAATACTTTTTCTTATTAATTAACCAATCTCTTAAAAAAGTACCATTGACTATTCAATTGTTTTTTTAAATATTTGAGACCATGAGTCAACTGAAGCTAGATCACCATATAAAACCTGGCAGAACTAGACGGCCGTTTCGTTCTATTGTGGAACTCCTCGAATCTCACAAGGCCGGACTGTGAATGAGCACTGCTGAGGGATCCCACAACAGAATGAAACGGCCGTTCAGTGCTTTCACGTTTTCCATGGTGGTCCGTCTTCAGTTGACTCATGATCTCAACTATTAAAATTACTATAATATCCACAAAAACCCCTGATATTGAATTGTTATTTAGTAACTATGGCAATTTAACTTGACACTATTGTTAATTATTGATTTACTAAATGATATTATCACTTTTGAAACAAACTGATTATGTCCGGTTATTATTTGACTCAAATGAAATTTTCTATAATTTGTTGTAGTTTATTGGTATGATTTAATTTTATAGGTGATTAGTTGATTTTAGATCAATAACAAGCAACCTCAAAATAAACTATCCTTTTCAGCTGATTTGAATTCTCACCAAATAAAGTTATGATATTGGTTGCGATGCAATGATTGATTAATGAATTTGACCTATTCGATTTTATAAATTAATCTATATCAATGATGATGAGTATACTTAGTCTTATACTGTTTTTTATCATGTCATCTCATTACTTAGTCTCTAATCAGAATGCTAAGCCAGATAAATAGTCATTAGCATAATGCATCCTCATTATTATTTTTTTTCCGTTCAAATTAACAGAAAAAGGAAATAATTGTGTTGAAAAATGTACAAACCGATTCCCTTGTTAAAGATGAATAGTGGCTAACAGTGGAATCCAAAACACGCGTTTCGTCCCATTTGGGACTCGTCAGCTGGATGCGCCTGCATCTCAGAGTTGATGTCCACTCTGGGACATCTATCTGTCGAGTCTCAAATAGGACGAAATGCGCGTCATGGATTCCACTGCTAGCCCCCCATCCATCTTTGTTTATAATAGTCATCTATATACACTCGAGATACTACTTATTTATTTATCCATCTTATTTAAAAGATTACACAAACATTTAAATATTTATTGAGGAAAGTAAAACAGATCTTAATTTCCTGCTTTTTTTCCTAATTAGTTTGTCCACTTTGTTTAATGAGTGTAGCGGAAGGCAAAAATATTTTATTATCCGATGCCCTTCTAAATGAATTACAATCTGTATTTGTACATGTATGTGATTATGTAAGATTGGAAGTAGAAGTAAGTAGTGCATATATTAGTTTAAATTATGAGCTTTATTTCTAATTTCATTTTTTATGTTTTATACAATAATGACGACATGAATTTCATTCAAGGTTGTTTGTTTGATATAGATTGGGTATATCCCCAATCTTTTCATTGTTTAATACATGTGTCGTACTTAGAACTTTTTACCATTTTTCCGTTCATCTATTTGGTGAATGCTGTATATTTGGGACTATTTTTCACAAAACATATCATTTTGATAAGTTGAGGTTATTAGCGACTATCTACCACAAACCTATTCACTGTAAAACAGCCTGACATGTCTTCAGTCTACAGTAGTAAGGATAGGAGATCAATCGAACCATATTAATCCCTGCAATTTGCATTACTGTAAAGATCCAATTTCGGGGTTCAAAATATCAATAGAAGATGATTATATTGAATGTTCTGGTAGAGAATTCCAGTTGTGAATTTCTTTCGTGTATGACAATCAATAGTTGTTGAATATAAATGCATTGATTTCGTTATTTGGAATAAAAATAATGTTCAGATAAAATAAGTTGAAAAACCGTGATCAGTGTAATCCAATCCATATCAAGTAGAGACAGTTAACCACTTCAGATGATGGACGATGGATTGTGAAAGATTATTGTTCAATTGCAGTTAGACACTAACACCAATGGATGCCGGTTCAATGGTCTAAGGGTTAGGCGTTGGTGGATGAAACCGAAGGCCCCGGGTTCGAGTCCCCAGTGTGGGATTGTGGATCTGCACTGCTGGCGAGTCCCATATGAGAACGACATGGTTATCCAGTACTTGCAGGTTTTCATTTGTGGTCTAGCTTAGACCGACTCGTGAAAATAAATTTAATATTAATGAAAATCAGAATGTGCCTCATGAAACGCTATAATTAAATGCTATATCTGTTGAAACTTATTAGGCTTTTCTATTAGTCCAATTCAAATCATGTCATATAATGAAATCCTAGTGTTTCAAATGTTAACCGAAATTTTCAGTTTTAGTTATATCCACTAATAAAACGAAGTGACTGAATACATTTATAAGGTTATTCATAGCCTAGATTAACTAGTGGTAATATCTTTGACAATAATACTGACTGATTCGAGTCCTGTTATATCTAGAAGGTTGTTCTTGATATACCGCGTATAACGTGAGCACTGGAATACCAGAACCCTTCCAAGTCGCAATGCGAAGACAGAAGGCTAATGAAAGGAATATTAATCCCAGACTGTCAATTATAGTACAAAATTGTCAGGTATTTATAGTTTTTAGTAAGAACGAAATCATCACAACAGTCCACCAATCCGCATACAGGGGGTTATTAGCATTGTCCAATCGGGAAGCTACACGTGGGATTTCTAGAGTATTCTTCCAAAAGGTGATTGGATGGAATATCTTCGGCTCCTTCTGAGCCTCCCACGGCTTTCTCGAGTTCACCCGTGGTCCGTCGTCACAAGTGCAAAACCAACGAGAGAGATCATTATTCTTTCCCCTTCCCACCAAAATTACACATATGCCTTACTAACAACTGGCAATATATTCACAGAACCCAACACATAACCTTAATAAATACATTTTTGTTATATCTCAATGAGCAGATAAACTGTATTTCTGAGGTTTCGTGACTTAATGTAAACCACTTCTTCAGAGTAAATAAATAATCGAATTAAATTAACACAAGTTTAAATAGTACAAAGGAAACTATGCAGAATAATTTTGGTACAATCAAAATTATAATAGGTCTGGATATGTCAATGTTAAGTTAAATTTGTATGACCTATCACCGTATTAATTTGTGCGTCAGAATATGGGTATGAAAAGTGTGAAAAATGTACATTTGTAATATGAAGTAGTGGGGTTGAAATTAAGTGCGTGTGTGTGTGTGTAAATTGTATGGAAATAAATAAGGTCAAAGGTGAAAAATTCACTTGTATCTTCCCATTAATGTTTAAGACTGCAATTGATCAGTCTCTTATTGGCATATTTGCATACTGTGCATATTGCCTTGATATTGCCTTAATTCACAAGCATTCTAAGCAAAGATGGATAGTGACTAGTAGTGGAAACCAGGATGCGCGTTCCGTCCTATTTGGGAATCGTCAACCGAATGTACCTTCATCCCAGAGTTGATGTTCACCCTGGAACTCGAACCCAGTATCGTTCGCTCCAAACCCCATCACATTATCCACTTAACTACTGAATCCTAATAGCCACTTGCTTGTGCAATGGAGAGAAGTTTAAATTCACATGGTATTTTTTACTTGTGTCTCCCCATTGATGTTCAGGACTGCAATTGATCAGTCTCTTATAGCATATTTGCACACTGTGTATGCTTCGGCTACTCGCCTCTGTAGTTGGAAAAGCCTTACATAACCAAATTAGTCGCCTCTCATTTTACATCCAAATCACTTAAAACTAAAAATCACCAAACACTCATCTCATTCTATTTTGACATCACTGTTATGCAGTACATGCCATATGAACACACGAGGTATCGAAACTTAATTTTCAATCTAAGGAAAAAAATTTCAGAAACCCTCATGTATTCAAACCATAATAAATCGAGCAATCCATATCTTACCTTCAATACAAAAACGATATGATATATTGTAGCATAGTTGATTTTAAGTAAACTTCGATTCTTCATTATAGTAGTAAATGGTACTTAGAATATCATATATATGTAATGAATGGACACTCAAGTAAGGAAGATCAATTTGTTGTTGAATACAAAATTACAGAGTTCGTTCGTAAAATGAGGAATACCATACATTAAGTATTTTATTTTCAAATCCTCCATCAGTTATCTCAAACTTCATCGTTCCTTCATTACTATTGCAATTAATCAAACTCTATTTACATTCACATTCTCATCAATTCGATATTCTCAAACTTTTGCTGTCAGGCATTACACTTCTAATTTATATCGACATAAATAATATTAAAATATAAAATATTATAAAAATATATTGAAGTTTCAATAGTTGAGATCATGAGTCAATTGAATATAGACCACCATGGAAAACCTGGAAGCACTGGACGGCCGTTTTGTCCTATTTAAATTACTACAATCTCCACAAAACCCCTTCTAATACTAATCACCATATTCTCACTAGGGACTGGCTTCAAGAGGTATATACTGGAGTTCCAGTGAGAAGTAGTGGCCAGTGGAGTTCAACCGGGTCTGTTGTGAGGTAGCAACTCACTGATGACAATGGTGGATGTGTCACTCAATTTGATGGATTAGTTGAATTCAGACATTAACACCAATGGACGCCGGTTCAGTGGTCTAGAGGTTAAGCAATTCCGCGCGAGACTGATATGCCCTGGGTTTGAATCTCGTGAGGCGGGATCACGGATGAGCACTGTTGAGGAGTCCGACACTAGGACGAAACAATCGTCCAGTGTCTCCAGGTTTTCCATGGTTGTCTATCTTCAGTTGACTCATGATCTCAACTATTGAAATTACTGCAATTTCCACAAAACCCCTTCTGATATATTGAAGTATTGTATTTTATTTATTTATTTTATAGTGTTCCACATTTTTGAATGAACTTTATAAAAATGTTGTCGATATAATCAAACATGTTGTAGAACCACATTTTGTTTGTCAGGTAAATACTTAATTTAAACATTAATTATTTACAAACACATTTGATATAGTTATAGAAAGAAAACTTTTTAAAAGGAAATCGAACGAGACTATAAGTTATGGATGAACCAATCAGATATAAGATAACAGGTCTAGGATTTTGACGCGAACTTCATTCATCTATTTGGCTAAAAAGAGTTTTGGTATTATAGATGATGTCAGTTCGTGATCAAAACTTTAGATTTAATTCCTAACCCTAACCATCAACTGTAATTCATAAGTCGAATTCCTCACACTGATTTATAATCCTCATGTTGTCCTAGCTATTAGGTGTACACTCTCAAGGTCAGTTTAGCGTCTCTCGAATGTCATCCATAAATTATATTCTCACCGAAAATTGGTATCTAATACAATTTGAATACGGTATTGTACAAATAGGGGGAAAAGTAGATATTATTTAAACACAATAAACAAAAAATCCACATTGTTAATGGAGCTAGATCACCATGGAAAACCTGAAAGCAATGGACGGCCGTTTCGTCCTGCTGAGGAGTTCCATAATAGGACGAAACAGCCGTCCATTGCTTTCAGGTTTTCCATGGTGGTCTATCTCCAATTGACTCATGATCTCAACTATTGAAATTTCGGTATTTACAAAATCAATAAATTCTTAGTAAATAACTAACAATGGAATTCAGATCTTCAAATTCCTAGATATAATCGATCTCTGATCGAATTCAGTCTTAGATATCAACAACGAAAAAATGCTATTCCTTGTAATAAAAAGTAAAGAAAATTCCACAACTGTTGGATAATTTGATGATTATTGTGGTCACGTAATTTGAAGAGAAGGAAGAATACTTCTAGGACCGAGTCTTGATGTAAACATTAACTCTATGGTATAGATATATGCAGAATTCCTCTGCTAGCTACTGTGACATAACATAATGTATCAATTAGGTATTATGAACACATATTAGATGGGATTAGGTTTAAAATGGTTGTACTCAACCATGAGAATTAACTTTGGAATGTTTACAAATAACTAAAAGTCATTCAGTAATAAGCAACGTAGAGAGTAATTGTCAAGGTGAATAACGAAGTAATATTAGCAGCCATTGTAGCTAAAAGATAAGGAGTACAAAACATAACTGGAGAAAAATGAAGTTGTAAGATAAATAGCATAACATAAATTTAAAGTACAGGATCGAGGGAAACAGAAATAGTGAATGCATCTGCACCTTGCAAATGGTTGTGAAATAATTTCACGTAACGACTTCAACTCAATCTTTGAAAATTCACAATATCAGCAGCCAATCTGCTATCTTTGTCAAGTATCCTAATAGCTGGTGTTTTTTTTTCGTTGTTCAAGTAATTGATTTCAAGAAAACACGGTCAGTGTTTTGATTCAAACAGGAAGCTTCAGTCTCAGAAGATAATTTAGCACTACTAAAATAATCCTTTATCCAGTAGTTTAAAAGAATTGATATGAATAAAGTTGAAAAAAATGAACCCCTAACAGGCAACCTATAAATTCTAGATAAGACGAAATGTGTGGTGGACCAGACAGATATGAACGCGAAAAGTATAAACAAGGTTACTAAAGATCAATAGTAATATTAATATATACAGTTAATTGTTACAAATACAATAAAAATTAGGGACGTTACTTAAATTGACCAAACGTTGCGTGTTCTGATTAGGTCCGGTAATGTAAATCCACAATTATAAATGCTTGATGATTCTGAGCAGGTTGGCGAACTCTCTAGTGATATAATCCCACATAGAATGTGATATATTCCAATTACAGTCTATAAATAATGACAATATTTGATTTAGACTTCAGCTAACTCAATCACAAACGAAAATAGAACGAGGGATGTGTGAGTAGTAATGTATTTGTTAGCCAGCAAGAATATGTCACGCTATGTTGGAGCTTGCAATCAGAACATCGTCGATGTAGGCAAACACGAAATCAAGGCCTCTTGTTACTTCATCCATGAAGCGTTGGAATGTCTGTGCAGCGTTTTTCAGTCCGAATGGCATCCTTAGAAACTCAAACAAACCAAAAGGTGTGATTATGGCTGTTTTCTTGATGTCTTCTGGTGCCATCGGAATTTGATGGTATGCGCGCACGAGGTCAAGTTTCGAGAAGATGCATTTACCATGTAAATTTAACGAGAAGTCATGTATATGAGGGATAGGATACCTATCAGGGATGGTTTGATTATTCAGACGGCGATAGTCACCACACGGACGCCAATCTTGGTCTTTCTTTGGTACCATGTGTAACGGCAAGGCCCAAGGGCCGTTGGATGGTCTGATAATACCAAGTTGCATCATATGTTCGAATTCTCTTTTAGCTACTTGCAACTTGCTTGGTGGTAGTCTCCTCGCCCTGGCGCTAATAGGGGGACCGGTGGTAATGATGTGGTGTTGTACCTGATGTGGGTTACATTCCTTTTGATAATCTGATTTTGTGATGCACTCGTACTCTGACAGGATGTCGTTGAAAACGTTGTTCACAGGCTTCATTATTCGTACACCATGGATTTCACAGTCGTTGGAAGGTGTACCATCTACCTGTAAACGTGTCTTTGCATCGATCAATCTCTTCTTAGTCATATCTACTAACAAGTTGTACGCACTAAGGAAATCGGCTCCGAGGATGGGTCGTTTGACATGAGCAACTATGAAAACCCATGTAAATCTTCTGAGGAGTCCGAGATCTAATATAAGTGATTGCTCACCGTACGTCTTGATAATTGATTCATTAGCCGCTACTAAGGACAATTTAGTGCTTGTCGTATGTTGTCTGCGTGAGAGATGGAGTGGGATGATGCTAATTTCTGCTCCAGTATCGACTAAAATGTCTGAGCCAGAAATACGATCCCTGATGTGGAAGAGGCGGCTAACATGTTGGCCAGTAACAGCTGCCGCCATTACTGTCTGGCCACTTCGTTTCCCTGATGGTCTGGCTTGTTTGTCGTGAAGTTGCACGATTTTGTGCAACGACGTGCTTTCTCACCATAATTCGAATGATACTAACAAATTCCGGCTGCCCGCTTAGGTGACCTAAGACGATGTCTGGATACTGATCTCCTTCTGGACGTAGATCTGGGAGGTCGAGAAGGGATGGTGGATACAGTCGCCTGTAGTGATGCTAGCCGCTGTGTTAACTGTGTTATTTGTTGTTGGATGTCAAGAGGGGGGTTCATAGCGTCTGTACTAAAGGATTGTACCGCGTTAATTCCCCGACTATCGGGATATATTTCCATCATCCTATCAGCCATATCAGCTAAATCGTCAAGAGTGACAGAAGTTCCTGAAATACTGAGAATTTGTCTAACATTATGTGGTAACCCTTGTAACCACATTTGCTTAAGCAGCGTCTCGTCTAATTTGTATGGGCCGGCGAGCTGTCGCATGTGTCGGAGTAACTGTGAAGGTCTCTTATCCCCTAGCTCGCACGAGGTAAGCAGTTGTTGTAAACGTTTTTCGTCTGACAGCGATGTGCGTTGGATTACTGCAGCTTTTATCTTGTCATAAAGGTCAGTTTCTGGTACGTTGTCAATCAGGTCACCAACTTCCGTTGCTACTTCTATAGGTAGTGCACCGACGACGTGGGCATATTTAGTCGCTTGCGAACGTATACCCCTCGCAAAAAATAGTGCCTCAACTTGTGCAAAAAAATTCTAGGGTTGTTGACACCGTATGTTGGTAATCTTAGTTCAGAAATAGCGTTGATCGAGTTTAAAACATTATCTTCTGGCTGTGATAAATGAAAGGGGTTGGTTGATGGGTTATCTATATCGATAAGTTTATTAGGAGAGTCCATAATGTGAAAAACAAAAAACGGTGTCGTGCCAATTAATAATAATAAAAAATATGTAGATATATATAGTAAATGTCTATAAAAAAGTAATCGAGGCTCACCAAATAATTGTGGTGGACCAGACAGATATGAACGCGAAAAGTATAAACAAGGTTACTAAAGATCAATAGTAATATTAATATATACAGTTAATTGTTACAAATACAATAAAAATTAGGGACGTTACTTAAATTGACCAAACGCTGCGTGTTCTGATTAGGTCCGGTAATGTAAATCCACAATTATAAATGCTTGATGATTCTGAGCAGGTTGGCGAACTCTCTAGTGATATAATCCCACATAGAATGTGATATATTCCAATTACAGTCTATAAATAATGACAATATTTGATTTAGACTTCAGCTAACTCAATCACAAACGAAAATAGAACGAGGGATGTGTGAGTAGTAATGTATTTGTTAGCCAGCAAGAATATGTCACGCTATGTTGGAATCACAACGGAAAGTGTCTTCAGGGTCATTGACTAAAACAACACGTACAGTCATTTAATGATGAATGTACGTACAGTGAAAAATTGAAAAAACAAATACAAATAACATTGAAAACTATTTACAAAATAAGATTGTCAGGTCTATCTCCACAAATGTACTTCTTGGATCCTAATTCTAGCCATAATGCCAAATCGACTCAATCCGCTTAACAAAAACATGTCCTCAGAAATTAACCAATTTTATAGTTGAATTCATAAGTCAATTGAGGCTAGACCACCATTGAAGACCTGGAAGTACTGGATAGCCGTTTCGTCCCAATATGGAAATTCCCAGCAGTTCTCATCTATGGTCCTGCATACGGGACTCAGAACCAGGACCTTCGGTCTCACGCACAAACGCTCAACCTCTAGACTACTTAGCTGGCGTCCAACAGTGTTAACATCTAACTTCAATCGATACACGATGTTTCATGACCATCTCGTGAGCGAGACAGAATGTCCTGGATTCGAGTGTCTTTGATGTGGGATCATGGATGCGCACTGTTGAAGAGTTACATACTAAAACGAAACGACCGTCCAGTGCTTCGAGGTTTTCCATAGTGGTCTACCTTCAATTAACTCATGAATTCAACTATTAAATTACTAAAACTTTGGTTTTCGTCTAAAAATTTTATTTAACTTAGGAAACTTATCCATTCTAGATAGTCTAATTATTCTTTTATTTATTATATTATTTTTAGCTAGGTCACATGTGTAATGCAACATATACAGAAGGATCGGATTACATTAGAATTGCATAAGAAGAACACTTTTTTTTATTGGTAAACAAAATGCATTGTTATTACAATTTTAGAATCAGCATACAAAAATAAATCATAAAAATTATGGATCATTTAGAACATTGATTGTTTTGTATATAACTGACGATCAAATCATTATCTAAAGTGATATTATTCATTTTATAGATCTTTAAATCTCTTCAAGTCAATATAGACTAAGCAGTCCTTGTAATCGGCACATTAACATCTACAGACAAAAATGCCTAACTGACAAAAAAAACCTCTGTTGAAATATAATAGACTATGATGATGTTTTAACATTACAGGAAATCATTTTCGGCATTAATAGTCCATTGGTAACTTACCGAATGTTACATAGCGCGATAAGATATCAAAGGTAACAAAGAGAAATTTGTTCAGTCAGAATTCTAGGAAATTTTTACTGATGTATACTTGAATGCAGAAAACTTAGAGAAATCAATTCCTATGGATTCTTTAGAATCAACTAACAATAAACGACGTACATACATACACAAATACTAGCAATCTACATTTCATAAAACGTAAAGCATGTGTAAATGTACACATGTATTTAATTTAACCAGCATTTGTTTATCTATTATGAAAACTGCTTTACTAAGTAAACACGTTAACGACTAACCTTTAACTTCAATACATCCTAAATGTGTTCAATTTATTTGTGACTATTGTTTCATGATAACTTAAACTTCAAGATTCCATGAGTCTGGTAAGCAAAATCATAAGTTGAATAAACAATCCTAGGTTTTTATTAGTAAGAGGATTTGTGGAAATTGTAGTATTTTAACAGTTGAATTCATGAGTTGGTCTAAACTAGACCGCCGTTGAAAACCTGGAAGTACTGGATAGCCATTTCGTTTTAATATGGAAATTCTCAACAGTTCTCACCCAAATCCTGAGTACGGAACTCAAAGCCAGGACCTTCAGTCTCAAGCACAAATGCTTAACCTCTAGACCACTGATCTGGCGTCCAACAGTGTTAACATCTAACTTCAATCGATACATAATATTGCATGACCATCTCGTGAGCATGACAGAATGTCTTGGATTCGAGGCTCTTTGATGTGGGATCATGGATGCGCACTGTTGAGGAGTCTTACAATAGAACGAAACAACTGCCCAGTGCTTCGAGGCTTTCCATAGTGGTCTACCTTCAATTAACTCATGAATTCAACTATTAAAAATCGTAGGTTTTCATTGGAACTTATTAGTTTACTTATTTAATATAATAAAATATGGATTGCTCGACCGTAGCTGCTACCTTGAAGCGGTGGTTGGGCTTGCCTGTCGTGATGACCCAACCGAGCTATATTGGCTGGAACATATGTTCCTGTAGGTCCTACCATGCTAGGCAGGTCGATTGGAGAACGGTAAAACTAAAAGCAGCAACTCAGCGTCTGAGGGCGAAGTTGTACTGCTGACTGTAGAAGGGTGTAACAGCAGTAAGGTGTTTCCCTTGGACAACCAGCATCTGCAGAGGTGCTGCCTTCTTACAAGGAAGGAATGGATTAGAAAAGGTCGACCCTAAAAATTTCACACCTCACCTTACCTCATGGATTTCTGTCTCCGGCGGTAAGGCCCTTTGAAGAACGAAGCTAACATGTTAAAAGCTTGCCACAAAAAGGCCGTGAGTGACCGGCCTCAAGCAGTTGTCCCTTGGGCTCTGCGATCACGCTCCCAAGTCGTTAATACCAACACTAATCCAACTTCCTTTTCAGGTTCTTCAAGAAATACCCTTCCAAGGTTTGGGTAGCCGGGAAGTTATATCAGCCCTCATACCCGTAACAGCACACGAGACCAAGTTGGTCACATTCAAATCCTTCCTACACCTCCTAATACCTCTCTTATCTCCATGACTAACCCTCCTCACGTCTCCTTATCATCTCGCACCGCTAGGGCAAACGATTCGAGTACGTGGAACGCTATTCCTGGTCTCCTGAAACCACGCTCTAAACTTCATGTTGGAGCTTATAACGTCCGAACACTGCCAAATAGGACAACAGGCTTCCTTAGCTAGGAACTTAGGATCTCGCACCATCGATGTGTGATGCGTCTCCGAAACGCTCATACAGGATTAGAGTAGTGTCATTCATTTGACCTCACCATATCAATGTAAAGAACTAACTCGATTCACACTTCGTGTATCTGGAAGCCATGATGCTGCTTCCCGTGGCCTCGCTGGCATAGGTATAGCATTTATTCCTAGGGCAAAACTAGCTCTCTTAGACTGGATCTCAGTAGACAGTCCAACTAAATGGAACAGCAAGGACTCGGAAAGATAGGGACACTCATCGTTGCCTCTTCGTCGCCTCTGCCTACTCTCCCACTGACTGCAGCTCAGATGATGTAAAAGATGAGTTTTACAGAAAGCTCTCCGCTCTGATTTAGTGATAGTGGCTGGTGACTTTAATGCTCAAGTAGGTAAACTAAGCGAAAGAGAAAGACACCTGGGTGGATCTTGTGGAGTCACGGCTCAAAGAACAGATAATGGCGACCGTCTGTTGCAGCTTTGCTCAGATAACCGCCTGTCCCTTGCAAATACTAACTTTAAGCATAAGGAAAAACATCTTTTAACATGGCGACCCCCGAATTCGTCCCAACGTTGGACCCAAATAGATCACATCGTTATCAGCCACCGATGGAGGGGCTCGATAGAAGACTATCGCTCGTCCTCGGGCACGTGCTTAGACTCAGATTATGCTCTAGTGTGAGCGCATATTTGTCTGCGTCTTACTGGACATAAGAAAGACGCTGCAAGGAAACCTCCTAGGGTCCTACTTAATGATAGCTAAGCTAAGAATATATTTCAGGAACAACTAAAAAGCGGGTAGGCAGCCGTGTAAGTGGTGCCCACCCCGAGACAGATTGGAATGACATTCGGAAAGCTGTGAAAACAGCAGTGATATCTGCTAGTACGGTAAACCGAAAGGTTAGGGTGAAACACTAGATCTCAGCAGCATCTACCACACTGACAGATGCTCGAAAACTCATCCCATCTGGCTCCAAACATGATGAAGAGCGGAGTCACCTTAAGCGCGGGCTGACAAGAAGCCTACGCAATGATCGTGAACAGTGGTGGTTAGCGAAAGCAATAGAGATGGAAATGGCAGCGGCAACAGATGACATCAAACAACTGTTCAGACTTGTTAAGGAAACCGGTATTAGGAATACGACTGTTAGAGAAACTATCTCAAAAAACGATGAATATATTATACATTCTCAATCCAGGAGATTGGATCGATGGGCAGAACACTTTAGGGATCAGTTCAACTGGCCTTCAGCCACACTTTGGTCTCCCACGATCTCCAGTCAACCTGAATGGCAAGTTAATGTAGGTCCTCCGTCCCTTTACGAAGTTGAAAAAGCCATAGGAAATCTGAAACGAGGGAGAGCAGCAGGTCCTGACAGTTCTACTCCTGAGAATTTTAAGGATGGTGATCCAGGATTAGCAGTGAGATTAACTGAGGTCTTAGGTAGAATTTGGGAACTGGACGTAATCCCATCTGACTGGTCTCAATCACTGATTGTGCCAGTCTATAAGAAAGGACAAAAGTCCTCTGGTGACAATCACAGAGGAATCAGTTTGACTAATATAGTGTCTAAAATATTAGCCTCAATAATACTTCGACGCCTAACTAAAGCTCGTGAAGAGCAGACTAGAGAAAACCAGGCTGGTTTTCGACCTGGACGTGGTTGTATAGATCAGATATTCACACTACGTCAGCTTCTAGAACACAGACACACATTCAGACGCCCCACAATGGTAGTATTTCTCGACCTTAAGGCGGCATTCGACTCTATTGATCGTGAGGTTCTATGGCAGTGTTTGTCACTGAAAGGAGTACCAAAGAAGTACATTAACCTTATAAAGGCTCTCTACTCGAACACAACTGGTCGAGTGAGAGCTTATGGTGAACTGTCACCAGAATTGACTACCTCAAGTGGTGTTCGTCAGGGCTGTCCACTCTCTCCATTTTTTGTTCAACTTTGTCGTCGACGTACTTTTAGAGACAACACTTTCCTCGTCTAAATTTCCAGGGGTTGAACTACTACCGGGAGATTCACTTGTTGGCTTAGAATATGCTGATGACATAGTTTTATTTGGTGAAGACGTTGACAAAATGCAGAGTCTTCTGACCACTCTAAGCAACAATGCAAGCATGTTCGGGATGCAATTCTCCCCATTCTCGAAATGCAAAATGTTGCTTCAGGATTGGGTTGCATTGACACCCGAACTAATGATAGGGAGTGAAGTAATTGAGCGTGTCGATCGCTTCACTTATCTTGGAAGTCTCATCAGCCCTTGTGGTCTGGTGTGTGACGAAATCTCAGCACAGATACAGAAGGCTTGACTAGCTTTTGCCAACTTGCGTCATTTATGGCGTAGGCGAGATATCCGTCTATCAACCAAAGGACGGGTTTACTGTGCTGCAGTTCGTTCCGTCCTACTTCATGGCAGTGAAACATGGCCGGTAAGAGTAGAGGACATCCGTAGGTTACTAGTATTTGATCGTAGGTGTCTTCGAAATATTGCTCGTATATCCTGGGACCATCGAGTAAGTAATGCAGTTGTTAGGAAACGGGTACTAGGTAAGGATGGCAAATCAATTGATGACGTAGTGAAAATTCATCAGTTGAGATGGCTGGGACACGTGTTACGTATGCCCAACGACCAACTGCCTCGACGTGCGATGTTCAGTGGTATAGGAATAGGTTGGAAGAAAGCTAGGGGCGGCCAGACCAAAACATGGCACAAGTTCATGAAGTCACTGACAAGTGGACTGAGTCATGTTGGAAGGTGTAGACTACCTGGTTGGGGACCGCGAGGTGATAGCAACCGATGGTTAGAGACCCTGAATGACATGGCTCAAAATCGTTTGCAATGGCGCAGGTGCATCCACTCTCTGTGTTCTCCCAAATTCTAATCTTCTGAATTCTTCATGTCCTTTATTTTCTTTCCAAATTTATTTCACTGTATTATACTCTTTGAATAAGATCTTCAAACTCTAATCTTTCCAATTACTATTTATATTCCTACCGCCTCTACCACTACGGGATTTGAATCGATAACTGCATCTCTG